TTTAGCCTTTATTTATCCAGGTTAGTCTCATTGAGCCACGAGAACTCATTTTCAAGAGAGACCTGTTTAGGGAGCACATGGTGGGGGTTAAGGGCCTTGCTCATGGGCCCAGAGTGGGGCGAATGAGGGTGGGGGCAAGTGTGGGTGTTTCACCCACCCCACCCACAATTTTGATGTTGTCGGGGCCGGGGCGTGAACCGGCGATCTTCGGATCACAGGCCCATATATATATAAAATTACTGGAAAACATTCAAAATCTGTTTAAGGAGCAAATTTATAAGTTATGGAGGAATCACAGTTTAAAATATGCAAATTCAGAACTACTAGAAAAAAAACTTTTGTGTATCAGAAAGTGGAGTCAAACTTTGGAATAAATTGAAAATTGAACTTAGACAATGTCCAAACAAAAAACTGTTCAAATTATCATATAAACCTATGATTATTGCTAGATATAATATATACTGGTAACATTATTTTTCAATTATTCTGGATGTTTTTGTTATTGATGCTAGTTTTGTCTTTTTGGTGAAGTTAAAGAAGTAATAATTGTTTATTTACTGTAGTTAACTTAAATAGATGGGTTAAATATGGGGTTTAGTTGTTATATGTATGGATTATACAGGTAATAAATGTAAGATTATGTAAGTGGTTAAAGAGTGGGAATTTTGACAAGTCTGTACTTCTACCCACTCCCTGGAATATGTAAAACAAAAAAAATTGACATTATGCTTCATGCTGTTTTTTCTTTTAGTTTTTTTACATATTCAAAAAATAATTAACTAAACTAAAGCAAAGTTTTAAAATGTTTAAAGTGTTTAAAACATCTGTTTGTCGTCTTCTCAGGACCTGAAAGGAAAGATGCAGGAGGCGATGACTCAGGAAGTGTCTGACATCTTCAGTGACACGACAACCCCCATCAAATTACTGGCAGTGGCTGCTACTGCCCCCCTGGATGCCCCCAACAGAGATGAGGTCAGTGGTACAGTCACGCTGCTCCTCACTGTGCTGTCACTGTATTATTTAGAGCTGTATTGTTTTCAACATTTCTTTTTTTAAATATTTATTTTAAACCTTGTGCAGCTTTTTGAAGACAGAGCTGCCAACTTTGAGAACCACGCCAACAGACTCGGTGCCACAGCAGAGAAGGCTGCTGCTGTCGGCACAGCCAACAAGAACACAGTGGAGGGAATCCAGGCCGCCGTCAAGTCAACAAGAGACTTAACACCACAAGTATGTCATGGGTGAATGCTTAAGCATTTCTGTTTTTGTCCTCCCTCCACCCTGAATCACGGGCCAGAGCGAACGTCTCACTGTCAGTGGATGTATAATTAATTGTTGGGATTATTTTTAGGTGGTTTCTGCTGCTCGTATTCTGCTGAGAAACCCCGGTAACCAAGCAGCCTATGAACATTTTGAGACAATGAAGAATCAGTGGATTGACAATGTGGAGAAAATGACGGGTGAGGTGCCACAAACATTCAAATCGCTGATGAAAACTGTTTGAGGTTTCCCATTTGAAGTCCTGATGGTTCCCTGTGGATGTTTAGGTTTGGTGGATGAAGCCATCGACACCAAATCTCTGCTGGACGCCTCCGAGGACGCCATAAAGAAGGACCTGGATAAATGTCGTATGGCCATGACCAATCACCAGCCTCAGATGCTGGTAGCTGGTGCCACCAGTATCGCCCGCAGAGCCAACCGTATCCTCTTGGTGGCAAAACGTGAGGTGGAAAATTCAGAAGATCCTAAATTCAGAGAGGTGGTGAAGGCGGCGTCAGATGAACTGAGCCAGACTATTTCTCCCATGGTCATGAACGCAAAGGCTGTGGCTGGAAATATACAGGATCCAAGTAAGTAAATGTTGATGATAGAATTAAATATTTGATTTAGTTAAACCACCTGATTGGCAGCAATGTATCTGTTTTTTTAATCACCAGGTCTTCAGAAAGGCTTTCTGGACTCGGGCTATAAGATTCTCAGTGCTGTATCAAAGGTCAGGGAAGCCTTCCAACCCCAGGAACCAGACTTCCCACCACCACCTCCTCCTGAACTGGACCAGCTGAGTGTAAGTTCTCACACAAGAACAACTTTGATGATGGTAATTGAAACAGCGCAGGCCTGATTCTTCAACTAACGAAACTACTTTGCCCTCGTAGCTGAACGACGAAGCAGCACCTCCTAAGCCTCCTCTTCCAGAAGGTGAAGTTCCTCCTCCCAGGCCTCCTCCTCCAGAAGAAAAAGATGAGGAATTCCCTGAACACAAGGCTGGCGACATAGTTAATGAGCCGATGATGGTGGCTGCCAGGCAGCTGCACGATGAAGCCGGCAAATGGTCCAGCAAAGTAAGTGACGCTAACATCCATCCTGATTTATCAGATCACAAGTTAACAGCACGGGAAGCTCTGAAACTAAACCACATCCAGAGGTCTGATCATCTGATCATGAGCTGCACACCGTACCAAAAATGGTTAAAAGGAGCTTTTTTCTTTGTAAAAATCGCTTGCTATTTTTAAAATCATTTAAGTGTCTTTTTATGTGTGGTGTTGTAAATCTATTACAAAACGAGGCTTGCTGGAAATATTTCTAAAAATACTCCAGTAAATGTGACTCAAGTAATCAGAAACAATATGACTGAAAGCATCATAGTATCTGCAGGAGAAGATTTTTAACCTGCATTTTACTTGTAAGGTCAGATTTTGAGGTCGGTTCCATAAATATACATAAAATGTACACACAGTCATACGAATCTGCCTCGAGCTGCGTTATCTGCTCGCTTTTATACTCTTCTCAGTACAACCGAGTTCACAGAGCACAGGAGGTGTCCTTGGAGTCTCTGCAGTCTTCTCACCCAGCGCTCTCCATTAACCCAAACATACAGTTCATGGGCAGAGATAAGATACGTGACTTGGGAGATGGTTTCAATTATGTCTTGGGCTTTTTGTTCTCAGTCATAGTAATAAAAACATCCATAACCTTTGACCTACAATTCTCTTGACAGTATCCATCAGATTGCTGACTAAAATTTAGTATATAATCTCCACAGCTTGAAGTATACCAAATATTTTTTACATGTACAGTGGAAAATGGGATCTGAGCATCACATGTATCAATTAGTGCAGATGTAAACAGCCTGAAAAAACATGGCCTCTTGTCCATAGATTCAAAACTCAAACAACAGGAAGCCCCACTGTGGAATTGAATGTAGGAGTTGTATCAGATTAGCCAAACTTGCCATCGAGTGTGTTCAGATTGGGGTGACTGCCTCTGAGGCTCAGTTTAGGCTGTTTTGTCCTTTTCTCCAACATGGACTTTGTTATCGTTTGCAGAAACGGTGTTAACTTTTCACGCTCTTCGTAAACACAGTAAACGACATTAAAAGCTTCTGATCGACCGCGTCTGTTGTAGGGAAACGACATCATTGGTGCTGCCAAACGAATGGCCCTGCTCATGGCGGAGATGTCACGTTTGGTGCGTGGTGGCAGTGGAAACAAGCGCGCCCTAATCCAGTGCGCCAAGGACATCGCAAAGTCTTCCGATGAGGTCACACGGCTGGCTAAGGAGGTGGCTAAGCAGTGTACTGACAAACGTATCCGGACCAACCTGCTCCAGGTCCGTCCACTTGGACGTCAATAGTTTGAGCGGTACTGGTATTAATTTGGCGCTTGTTTTTTTTTAGTTCACCTGTTTGTGTAATTTTGTTTCAGGTGTGTGAGCGCATTCCCACCATCAGCACTCAGCTAAAAATCCTGTCTACGGTGAAGGCCACCATGTTGGGTCGAACCAATATCAGCGAAGAAGAGTCGGAGCAGGTGAGTGCGTTGAACAGTAACGTTCTGCGTTTATCTTGAAACAACTCCTCACTCGGTGTCTTGATTCTTTGTGCGGCAGGCGACCGAGATGTTGGTCCACAATGCTCAGAACCTGATGCAGTCTGTGAAGGAGACCGTCAGAGAGGCCGAGGCAGCTTCTATCAAGATCCGAACAGACGCAGGTTTCACCCTCCACTGGATCAGAAAGACCCCCTGGTACCAGTAAGAGAACAACCACAGGTTCTCTGCTTGGTGCTGGTTCTGTCCAGCTGTCCACGAGGACGTTGAATGGACAGACATATTAAGCGCCCAACATGGGCAAAGTTTCTCTCACGTCCTGTCTGTAACAGTTGCTGTTCTGATATAATGTAAATGATGGGACTATTAGGGTAAGTTTTGGGTGAAATTCTTTCTGGTGTGTAAAAAAAATATATTATAAAGCTTATTTCGACAAATCCCAGGACTATATGGTTAGAGTTCATATAATATAAGGGTGACTGTTTCTGGTCTTTTCTAGACCCAGAAGGCATTAAGTTAAATTTAATTGACATTTTCGTGAGACATTTTTTTAAATCGTTGTTCCGATTACTTTACAATCATTATATTCAGTTTTTGCTAGAATAAGCACATGAACTTTAGGAGCTCTTACAAGGACAGCAGAGGCCTGTGCTCAGCGCAGACACTGTTACATCTGTTTACAAGCTTCTGTATTTTAAGAAGTGTAAAAAAAAAAAAAACTTTTTTTTTCATACTGTAATGAAGTTGTAGCAGCTTTTAATTTCTTTAAAATTCTACCAAAGATGCCATCATCTTTGAAAATCAACTTATGTTCTTCATTATGTATTGAGTTCGGGTGTAATGATCTTCTGCTTCGCTTTGAGGTCTGAAAGTCATTTTTTTTTTACTTTCTACCCCATTAGCAAGCAAACAGAACTTTAATATTGCGTGCTGTTATTTGTAAACGCCACACACTTTTTGTGCACATCTTCTTTGCAACGTATGATTTCCACACTTCTAGATAGTCAAGGGAAAAAGCAGAACTTAACCGTAAAGCACAGTCTGCAGCTGGAGAAACCTACCCTCTCAGAATCTTTATAACAAGACTTGATACACTAAACATGGCGACTGCTGAAGATACTTAAAAATATCTGGGCTGTTTGTGGAAGTGTCATTTTAAATATTTCATGCCAACTGATGTGCCTTGCTAGATAAAATTTATTTTTTGTATTATTTCTACAAGCCGCCTTAGTGCTAATCACTTCAAAACACTTACCGTCTAGGATTCTTCGTTAAAGGCCTGGTTTAGTCCTTTTACAAATCAAATATACTCTATGCAAACAGTTTTTTTCCCCCTGTAAAATGATGCAACTTGGTTGAGTTTTAATGGGTCTGAACACTCAGTTTTGTAATAAAAAGCATTTTGTAACGTGAAAATGTGCTTTTGTTTAATCGTTTATTTTATCAACTAACACCAGCAGTATAAAGTTTGTTGCTTAAATTGTGTAAGCTGAAAATTGTTCTTGTCCTGACGATATAAACTTTAGAACTACTCCGAAGTAAAGTTTGTGTGACTATTCTGCAAGGTTTAGAACTTTATGCAAGTTATATGGTATAAAAATATGTTTTTTTCTATGCATTTCTACCTCTTAGGCGTGAATTTGTATTTTTCACTGGACAACAGGACAGCCTGTTTATGAGCAATCAGAAGGTCGCCAGTTCAACTCCCTGGAATGACGTCCAAATGTGGATGGGAAAGTGTGAAATACGCACACCTGTCTCCACCCTCGTTTGCCCTTGAGCAAGGCTCTTAACCCCGTCATCTGCTCCCCGGGTGCCCCAGATGGCAGCTCTGCTCCACACAGAGGGCTGTGGTAGCTCAGTGGTTGTCAGGAAGGACATCTGGCGTAAAAACAATTGCCAAGTCTTCATGCGAGTTAATTTGCTGTGGCAACCCCTGAAGAAGGGAGCAGCCGAAAGAAAAACATTTTTTTTTTTTTAAATGGAAGTAAGAGCTCAGTTTTTATCAGTATTAAAAAAAACGATTCTCTTTCAGTCCTGCCAAGATATTTATTTCAAAGATGCAAAGTCATTAAAACTTTTACTTAAAAAGTTAAGTTTATTATAAGATTATTTAAGGCTTATAGCAGTCCCTCTGAAAGTGGTACACACTGGTTTTGAGCAATCCCAGTTTAAGGATTTATTAGGAACAACGCTTGTGTTGCATTGGCATGAAATTTACTGCAACTAAAATTATATGGCAATTTTACACAAGATGCATAAATATGAGCTGATGGTTTTGGTTTGTGATAATGATAGATATGTACTAAGCTAATGCATATCAGACTGTTCTGCAATTATGGGCCAAACAAAAAGACAAATAATGGCGACTAAATCCTGGACAACCTGTTAGTGAGTAACTAAGTAGTTTTATATTTACCATGTTTCAACATCTGGAATAGCTTCTGAACTGGTTCTTCAACCAGATGTAAAAAAGAAAAGAAATGGTACTTGCAAGGTCCATCTCCTCTTTGAGTAAGCCCTCAACCAGGCCAAAGCAACGAACTATATGGATCTAAGCCAAAACTAAATTTTCTTTTCAGAGTACATGCGGCTGACTAATTTGTTTACGTTTGAAGGGAAAGGAAGCGACGGCTTCTTGCTACTCTTCCCTGTTGTGGGGGGAAAAAGGACTTTAAAGCCTTAACAGCATTAACCGACCCATTGCAGACTTGGGGAAATATATCTAAAGAAGAAACGAACACGTCGTCGAGGAGAAAAATGGCGCTGAGGTAAAAACGGAGTGATTTTAAGCTAGCGGTAGCAGCGGGCGGCTAGCCGCTGTAGCTAGCTGCTAATGAAGCTAACCTGTGATGTGTTGACGGTCAGCTGGAGGTGCACGGCGATAAGACGCCCCGGGCATTTGAACGTTACATTATCTCAAACTGAGTTTACACATCCTGTCTGGTCACGACGATGCAAATCACAGCTGGCAGATTACGTTCATCTCATGACTCTAAAATGAGCATTATATAATCCCAGTACATGCATCCCACCTCTAATTGTCCTGCATTTTTTTTTTTTTTTACTACAGATGTTCCGAGTTTCCGAGCCGACAAATCATTTTAAAACATCAGCCTTACTGATAAACAGGCAGGTAATAAACTTCATAGATACAATTTTAAAACTGTAAATGAATTATTAATATGCTGGTCAACGGCTTGTTTAAAATAATAATAAAAAAGTTATAAAGTAAAAAATATGAAAAATCCAATAGTCAAATTTAAAGAAAATGTGGCGCAACCAGATTAAAGCTATACAATAATATGTTTGTTTATTTTTAATTAGCCCACACAGTGATGCATTTATTAATTTTTACAGCTTCAACGATTAATGTTTTGTTGACATTGAAAATCACAACAACGTGGGGCGTTCAAATAACCTAGGAAACTTAGTTTAGAGATTCATTTCAGAACGAGTTTTATAACATATGGATACGTACATGGAAAAAAAAACATAATTTTAAAGAGGATACTTTGTTACAAAGCGTTTTAAATCCATATACAAAAGCCCTGCAAGGTATGATTCGGTTATAAGTGAGCTAAACAAAGTTATTTTCTTGCATAATATAGAAACTATGCGTCAAACAAAAATAGCAGTGGTCACACTTATTTAATTTTTTTTCCTATTGAGCCCAAATGCAGCATAAAAAGCCTAACAGTAATTGGACCGTGTGTAGCCAATCAAAAGCCAAAATGACACAAAGACCCGCCCTCTTCCACCACCCTTGTGTCAGGGTTGGCTACAGAGCTACTACATTCAGTTCCTAGAGTCAAAAAGCACGTTTCTTTGAGGGAGGATTAGACTTGATCTTTTAATCATCTGGAGAATTTTCTGAAAACATGCCAACACCAAGGTGAGACCAAACCACACAGAGAGGAAATAAATCTATCATCTGTTTCGATTAAAACAAAAAAAAAAATCTGCTTACTTTTACTTTTATTAATAGTTTAATTAAAAACACATGTGTTAAGTCAAACTTTTGATTAAAATGAGTAAGTGTGTGTTTGTAGTCTGAACCGGATGCTCATATTATTGTTAATTTTGTTGCTTGTTATTAAGGCCCTATTAGAAGTTGACTTTGGCCATTATTAAAACCTAGATTTTTTTTAGAATAAAAAGATTATGAGTAAAATTATGTTTGTTTTTTTACTTAACATTTGATTAAACATGGAATAATTCTTCTGTTTCTAAGATACACAGAGTACACATCTTTCTATCAAAGCATCAACACATTTTTCTGAATATTTTAATTGTCAGTATGTATTTTTTGCTATTGCCTTTTTAAAATAACATTTACACATGCACATGCATCTATAATTTCTCACGCCTCATGTTGGCATTTTTACCAGAGGGAGGATCTTGGGGTAGCAGCGCCTCCATAGCAGAACAGATGTGCACCCCTGACTGAAACCTCAGTCATTTAAGTCAACAAATCCTGACCAGATGACTTCCTGTTTCACAACAAAATGCCTATTTCCTCTGTTCACGCAGAGCAGCATAGTGGGAATCCACATCACACAATATGTTTATGTCTTCTCACAGTGAAAACATGCTCTTTGGGATGGGAAACCCACTGCTTGACATCTCAGCTGTGGTGGACAAAGACTTCCTGGACAAGTAAGTCTTGCACACTTTCACTCGTTTATGTGTCTCAATGGGCACAACAAAATAATTTGCTGTTTTTTTTTTTTCTTCCTAAAAGGTTTGGACTGAAGCCAAACGACCAGATCCTTGCTGAAGACAAGCACAAAGCCCTGTGAGTCAAACGTGCACACCGCGGGGACACATTTCAGTTCGCACCGTGCTAAAATGACATCAAACCTAATTTATATACAACACTTCGTCACGTTTAGTTAGATTCAAAATAGCTGAGGCGTAAGTCCGTACTTGGTATCTGCAGATCTTGGCCCAGCCACATTTTTCTACGCCAAAATACAACTGTTTAATACAACTTTGAATTAAAGCTCTTCTATCTAATAATGCCAAATATAACTATTATTTATTTATTCAAGGAAAGGTTTTGCAGAATTCCATTTTCTGAACCACCTTCTTCACATTCCTGGCAGATTTTACAACAACTCGAAAGCCTTCTTAAAAAAAACCCCCTCACTTATGTGTGTTTCTAAACAGATTTTCACACCTTTAGAAAGGAGGGTAAATAACAACAAGTAAACAAAATCACTCGGCTTTAAATTTTTTTTTTTGGCTGATCTGTAAGCTCCCGTCCTCCTCTGTTTGATACGGGGCAGATGGTTTCTGTGCAGGGAGTTTGCCAGCTTTCGTTTTGAGCGCACCATCTGGGAGTGAGAAACGGTGAGAGAAAAGCATTTGAGTTGTTTTTTTTTTCAATTCTTTAATTGCAAGTTTGTGTTGGTTAGTAAAAAATGTCTTGTATCACGTTTTGAGTAAAGATCCAAGTTATAAATTAAAGTTAAATTCTTAGCAAATTATGAAATCAAAACCCTGAATTACCGTAATTTCCAGACTATTGAGCACACCTGAATATAAGCCACGCCCACTAAATAAAATTTTTTTTTTTTGTACGTATATAGACTGCACTTATCTGCAAGCCACGGGTGTCTACATTGTAGCATGAGATATACACAAATATGCACAGTAAATGTTTTCATGGCTGGTTAAAAAAATACAGTAGCCTACCAGGAAGTCATTGATCGCCATCTTCATCTTCCTCCTACGCACTGTGCCCTTGAGCTTGTGCTGTCCTCTTCATCACGCAGCAGCCTTTCAAAACCCGTTGGCGACAGAAGATTTTTTTTACACTGCTCTGCTGTCAGGAATCAAGATCCACTGGCAGACTTGAGCAAAAGTTGCTCTTCGCATGGGGCCAGTTTTGGTGAACGATTTCTCAACGCTAGTCATCCAAACCTCCCACCGAGCTCGAAGTGCCACAATAATATGCACGAGTCACACTTATTTTGAGTGGCTGCAAATACTTTGTTGTGCCTCCATTTAGTTATATCTAAGTTAGTTAAGTCTAAGTTAGTTATATCTAAGTTAGTTATATTTAAGTTAGTTATAGCGAAGTTCCCCACCAGGGAGAGTGGAAATGAAGTTACCCACCTCCCCAGTGCACCAATGAAACCAGGTTTCATTGGTTAAAAAAAAAATATATATTTTTTATACCTTTATTTATACAGGTACTCATTGAGTCACGAGGACCCACCCCCCAAGAGAGATGTGTTGGACAGCTATGTGAGTGCCAAGGTGTGACGAGGCTAAATGTTTTGGCAGCATGAAGCTCGTTAGCCCGTCCCCAAAAAATCCATAAATTAGCCACAGCATTGTATAAACCGCAGTGTTCAAAGGGTTCGAAAAAGGTAACTTGTATGTTACGAAAAATTATGTCATGAAAATGTTATGAAAAATGTAGCTTGTAGACCGGAAATTATGGTACATCAAATGGTGCAGTTTTTACGTTCCCAGTAGTTTTCCATTTATATTGATATTCAGTTCTGAAATGCGGGTCCACATTTGATGTAAACAAAGCATTCAGCTGAATTTGACTTGTTTTCTTTTTTCCTTTTTCTTTGGCTGTTACAAAAAGTTAACTAACACACATAGGAATTAGCATCTGGTCATAAATTTTACTTACAACCTTTTAATTTAAGGGCACATTAATAATTTATAAAAGAAGAATATTGCACTAATATTCCAATTTTATGTTTTAAAAAAAATCAGATTAGCATGACATTTCAAGGATTAGGATTAACTGATCTTTATTTGACATAGAGGGAGTAGAGAGATTGTTATTGTGTGAATGTTTTTTTTTTTTTTGCAATCATTTAAACTTTCTTCAGCCTAATTCAGCATAAATGTGCTCTCTCTACTTGCTTCAGGTAATTTAAGCTTCTTTCTGCTAATTTTAGCTACTATGCAGCAGTTTTTTGGCAAATTTCTGCTTTTTTCAGGTAATTTCCACATTTTTGTCCTAATTTTTTCCTCTTTAATCCTAACTGGGCACAAATGTGCTCTCTCCATATCCTTCAGGTACTTTAAGCCTTCTTCTACAAATTAAAAAAAATCAGCTACTTTCAACTAATTACTGCTTTTTTCCAGCTGTTTTGTGCCCCTTTCAGCTTTATTCTGCTAACTACACGATTGATGTGCATTTACTAATTTATTTCTGCTAATTTCAGTTTATTTGCACGTTTCAGCTATTTCAGCTACTGTTTAGCTGTTTTTATGCTAATTTCAGCTTTTTCAGCTAATTCCACATATTTTGCAATCATTTAAACTTTCTTCAGCCTAATTCAGCACAAATGTGCTCTCTCTACTTGCATCAGGTAATTTAAGCTTCTTTCTGCTAGTTTTAGCTACTATTCAGCTGTTTGTTTGGCAAATTTCTGCTTTTTTTCAGGTAATTTCCACAATTTTATGCAAATTTTTTCTTTTTTAATCCTAACTGGGCACAAATGTGCTCTCTCCACATCCTTCTGGTACTTTAAGCCTTCTTCTACAAATAATAATATTAATAATAATAATAAAAAACCCCAGCTACTTTCAACTAGCTGTCTTTTTCAACTGTTTTGTGCTCCTTTCAGCTTTATTCTGCTGACTACACTATTGCTGTGCTTTTTCAAAATTATTTCTGCTAATTTCAGCTAGTTTTGCGCCTTTCAGTTTATTTGCACGTTTCGGCTATTTCTGCTATTTCAGCTACTATTTAGCTATTTTTATGCTAATTCCAGCTTTTTCAGCTAATGCCACATTTTTTTGCAATCATTAAATTTTTCTGCCTAATTCAGCAAAAATGTTCTGTCTCTACTTGCTTCAGGTAATTTAAGCTTCTTTCTGCTCGTTTTAGCTACTGCTTTTTTTTGGTAAATTTAAACTTTTTTCAGATAATTTCCACTTTTTTGTGCTCATTTCTGCTTCTTTCAACCTAATTGAGCAAACGTGTGCTCTTTCTGCTTCCTTCTGCTAATTTAAGCTTTTTTCTGCCTTTTTAGCTACTATTCAGCCGTTTTCTGCAATTTCTCTAGTTTCTTTTACTTTATTTAATAATTTGACACGTGTTTCATAAAAATAAAAAATAAAAAATCCTGAATTTTTTTTTTTTTTCAAAACTCCACCAATGACCCGTCTGACTGCAAGATGGATCACAAACAGGACCAACAATGACAACCTCCTCTGTGACTCAGCCGAACGTTCAAAACTGTTGATTAGAAGTAATCACAGAAAGGGAGGCTGTGGTCTTGTAATCTTGAGGTTGTGGGTTCGAGCTCAGGTTGCGTCAGGAAGCGCATCCAGCGTAAACCAATTGCCAAATCTTGCGTGCGAGTTCACTCTCTGTGGTGACCCCTGAAGAAGGGAGCAGCCGAAAGAAACTTACTGATGCAATCACTGAAAGGTGTTTGTTCTGTAGCGACTTTACAAATTTATTACATTTTTAATGTTTTGACACAACCTATAGCCCAAGTACACGCTTCAGCTTGTTCAACACTTACTAGAGAGCAACGGATGAGTTTTTATTTTGGCCGCCGCAGAACGAGTGTCGAGTGTCACACAGCTGCTCAGTTGAAAACTTTGATAACCACAACCTAATCTGGCTGCCCCAGTTGCTGCTAGTACTCTTCCTGTCTTCTCTTGTTTGCATTTAGTAACAAATCTAATTTTTTTGTGTGTTATAATGTTGCTTAAATAAATTTAAAGGAATAATTAATATATTTTCAAGTGGCGTTCCATGGGGTCAGAACAATTAATATCTTACCTGCTGCAGATAGCTCTGTGAACATTAGTGCCCCAACTAGCTGCCGCTCCTTTATGCATTGGAAATTACCACAGAACTTTCTGTAAATAACTCCATAATGCAAAATTTATGAAAATGTAAAGACAAAGAAAAGAGTTCCTGTAAGCTATGATTTTTATTAAAGTAAAGTTGTTTTAAAACAGTGGACTCTTGGACTAGCTCATCAGTCTTGTCAGAAAATACTCCCTTTCCTCAAATTGGCGTCATTCAAGGAGCTACTTACAACAGGTAAGATATTAACTGCTCATAACCTTTCCATAGAACCCCACTACAAAAGATCTAAACTATGACGTTAAAGCTGCGATCTAAAAGAAAAGTGTTGCTTGTTTTTGCCTGGACGTTTAGCAGAATATATAGTAAATTAAATCAACGCGCCAGAAGTGGGGAACGGTGCACCAGACATAAAGAGCACAGACTAATCGGTAGATCAGAGCTTACATTAGGCTACCTTGTCAGGTTTGTTACTGTACAAAAGGCCACACGTGACGGTGGGCGGCGGCGGCACAAAGCTGCATCATCAGCAGTGTTGCTCTCCTTCATCACAAAGGCTTCCATGTTATCTTTAGCCCCACAGACACGGTCCTCTCTCCATTCTGCACAAGGTCAGGGCAGGATTAACATGTAGCTTTGGTGCCCAATTCCAGACACAATGCATTTCATTTCCTATACATGCAGGCATGCGTCGTTTTATTTATTCATTTTTTTTATGTTAGACGCTGTTATTTGAGCCATTGCACTTCTTGTATTGTTTGAATAAAACAGTTTAATTTGTAAAAAGTTCAGCCACAAGCCGGAAGTGGAAGAAGAACTATGTTCCAGTGACAGACAGAAAAATAAGCTCTCAGTAGGCCAACAACTCCTGTCAACTAGCGCCATTGTTGTTACTTAATCTAGTGTAACACGATTCACTTTTTTTGTTCATCCCATCACCCTGCTGGGAGAGAGATCACTGGATGCAGCGCTCTGTGGCTTTTCCTCAATTCAAT